AGCATGCTTCTGGCAAAATATCATTACCCTGGACCTTTTAGTTATACAGAACAAATCATTTAAAGATTTAAACATATATTGACCACTGTGACCTTGAATATGGGCGAAGGTCATTCACTTAACCAACTTGGTAGTCTTTCATCCATGCATGTTATTGGCATTTTTCCTAGGCCTCTAGATCTTGGTTATTCAGAAGTAGTTGTTTAAAGGTTTAAAACATATATGACACCTGTGATCTTGAAAAAAGATGAAGGTCATTCATTTGAACAAACATGGTAGCCCTTTATCCCAGCATGCTACAGTCCCAATATCATTACCCGGGCCTTTTGGTTATTGAGAAGTTGTTCGAAGATTTTAACATATTTGACCCTGTGACCTTGAAAGTGGGTCAAGGTCATTCGTTTGAACAGACTTGGTAGCCCTTCATCCCAGCATGCTACATGCCCAATATCAGTACCCTGGGCATTTCAGTTATTTAAAAGAAGTTGTTTGAAGATTTTAACACATTTGACCCCATGTGACCTTGAAAGTGGGTCATTCGTTTGAATAGACTTGGAAGCCCTTCATCCTAGCATACTACAGTCACAATATCAGTACCCTTGGCCTTTTAATTTGGTTATTGAGAAGTTGTTTGAAGATTTTAAGACATTTGGCCCCTGTGACCTTGACAGTGGGTCAACATCATTCATTTGAACAAACTTGCATTTGGTAGCCCTTCATCCCAGCATGCTACAGGCCCAATATCAGTATCCTGGGCATTTCAGTTATTGAGAAGTCGTTTGAAGATTTTAACATATTTGACCCCTGTGACCTTGAAAGTGGGTCAAGGTCATTCATTTGAACAAACATGGTAGCCCTTCATCCCAGCATGCCACAGTCCCAATATCAGTACCCTGGGCATTTTGGTTATTGAGAAGTTGTTTGAAGATTTTAACATATTTGACCCCTGTGACCTTGAAAGTGGGTCAAGGTCATTCATTTGAACAAACATGGTAGCCCTTCATCCCAGCATGCTACAGGCCCAATATCAGTATCCTGGGCATTTCAGTTATTGAGAAGTTGTTTGAAGATTTTAACATATTTGACCCCTGTGACCTTGAAAGTGGGTCAAGGTCATTCATTTGAACAAACATGGTAGCCCTTCATCCCAGCATGCTACAGGCCCAATATCAGTATCCTGGGCATTTCAGTTATTGAGAAGTTGTTTGAAGATTTTAACATATTTGACCCCTGTGACCTTGAAAGTGGGTCAAGGTCATTCATTTGAACAAACATGGTAGCCCTTCATCCCAGCATGCTACAGGCCCAATATCAGTATCCTGGGCATTACAGTTATTGAGAAGTCGTTTGAAGATTTTAACATATTTGACCCCTGTGACCTTGAAAGGCCCAATATTATTGAGAAGTTGTTTGAAGATTTTAACACATTTGCCCCCTGTGACCTTGAAAGGCCCAATATTATTGAGAAGTTGTTTGAAGATTTTAACACATTTGCCCCCTGTGACCTTGAAAGGCCCAATATTATTGAGAAGTTGTTTGAAGATTTTAACACATTTGACCCCATGTGACCTTGAAAGTGGGTCAAGGTCATTCATTTTAACAAACTTGGTAGCCCTTCATCCCAGCATGCTACAGGCCCAATATCAGTATCCTGGGCATTTTAGTTATTGAGAAGTTGTTTGAAGATTTTAACACATTTGCCCCCTGTGACCTTGAAAGGCCCAATATTATTGAGAAGTTGTTTGAAGATTTTAACACATTTGACCCCTGTGACCTTGAAAGGCCCAATATTATTGAGAAGTTGTTTGAAGATTTTAACACATTTGACCCCTGTGACCTTGAAAGTTGGTCAAGGTCATTAATTTGAACAAACTTGGTAGCCCTTCATCCCAGAATGCTACAGGCCAAATATCAGTACCCTGGGCCTTTTGGTTATTGAGAAAAAGTTGTTTAATAGTAAAATATTGATGCCGGACAACGGACAGATGGACGAAACCTTCGGGCAGGTGAGCTAAAAACGATTGGTCAAGTATATAATTAATATATAGCTAATTCAAATGATATGCAGGTATTAATATGTCAAAGGACTCTACACTTTATTTCCACAGACGTGGGTGTGTCACCTGTGCCAATTTATATTAGTTTGAATTTTGACTTAACAGAGAAATACAATTATTCCCAGAGAAATACAATTATTCCCAACTTTACAATCCACATCACCAAATTGTTTTGCTACATAATTTGCAGTAGGTGAAGTACATATCCCATCCTACATCCTCACCAACATCCTTCAATAGTACTTATTCATACTTATACAATATATGTTGATTCATTATCCTATCAACAGGACCCCTCAGCAACAGGATGACTACAATTAACAAAGGCCATATCATCACTTTATGTACCACTCTTATACATATAGCTGTATCATGATATCCTCCAAGATACTCGAGAAAATTCTCATATCTGCATAATCATAATCATACAAAATGAATCAAAACAGCACCATATTACCAATCATCTACTGAATCATTGCAGCTGTAAAATGATTCGATAACTAAATGATTTGTCAAGTTTCAATTCACATTAATTCACACACGAACCAATTTTAAGCGATAAGAAATAGAAACTTGAATTGTGTCATTTTACCACCACAATGGTTGAAATAAGCAGAGGTTTTGCCCGGTATTTTGAGATTGGACCTAGTTGTCCTCAGAGGGGATGGGGGAATATGTCAGCATTTTGCTACAAACCTGGGAAATAGTATGGTTTTTGACTTTTAATCAGCTTGCATTTTTGTTAATGAGAAAATATGTAAATAAATGTATATATAATTTTATTTTAAAGTGTTTGTCTTACACTAACATATCCCATGTGTTATTACACAATTGTTCACACGTCCAGTTAAAAGTTTGTCCTATCATATATTTTAATTCCTACTCAAGTTGGACTCAATGCAACTACCAAATGTAACCTGTTTCATTTGCCAATGAATTTGACCAGATTAACATTACCTGTGCATACGATTTTTGCGATGGGAGATAACTATTGACATGCTTAAACAAAGATACCACTTGATGAGATTTCACTTTTTTATTCAACCAAAAACGATCAATCAGCAAAATATCAGCTCACGGTTGTTAGCGGTAGTGACAAGACATGTAAATGTATTGCCTTTGAAGTTCTACCTCCAGCTATCTATTTGCCTTGTGTAAGTATCAACCCCTGGTACAAATCGAAAACAACGTGCATGCACAGGGGTTCGTCACAAATGTCTGAAATACACATATCATGCTATTACTGATATGGGTCACAGCACACATAAACATACATATAAATGTATCTGTATGTGTGCTGTGACCCATATCAGCATAGTATACATGTATGTGTATTTCAGACAACAAACCCCTGTGGTAGATCCGTGTCGTCTCGTCTTATATGAAATGTAGTCGAACAACCAAATGTCATACCAAATGTTTCGTCCTTTCATGCCACGTCTGTTTTCCTGTCTAATTCGACATTCAATACCGCAGCTTCACATTACAGAAGATGTAGAACCTTGAAATTTAGCAGCTCTCCACTTCGAGCTCGTAAAACAGATGGCTGCCGTAGACTCGCAGCTAAACCTGTGCACCGCGTCTATACCTTATTCTTCCGTGATGACACATCACTGCCATCAGAAAATTTGATATCTTATGAATTCATCAACAAAAATTAATATAACATTTAAAATATGGCTTTGTGTTTTGTTTCTACATAATTAGGCTGTATTGAACTATAAACGTACACCATCATGTTCTATATAATGGTCCTTCAATGACGGACTATGTTTTTTTACATTGCGTCATTACATAGACTTGCACAAGCTCCAGAACCTGTGCAAACGATCCGATCTAGAATGGACTTCACAAGTTCCAATTATTGAAAAAAATATGTTGATTGAAATAAAAGGATTGAATCTTGGTTTGGTCGATTTCATAGGTTGATGAATTGAGTTGGTCTTGAAACAAATACAACATGAACTGCTTCGCAGTTCATTAAATTTGTTTCAAGACAAACTCAATTCATCACCCCATGAAATCGACCAAACCAAGATTCAATCCTTAAATGAAATTTATCATTCATAAAATTGTAGTTTCTTTAAATGCTTTTCAACAGCCTAGCTTGCTTTCTAAAACATTTTTGATTCAAGATATAGAAGTCTTATGATCTAGAGTTAAGTTCATCTTTGACACAAAATTTTAGAACTGGAACCAGATAAGGATACATGTACACAAGTACATGTACATTTGTGCTACGACAGTTCAGTCAATGACATCCAGTAAAAAAGGCCAGCATTGCCTCTCCTGACAGATTTCAACAAAATGTCCTAAAATCAATAACAGAATGGTCTTATCTGTTGTCCCAGGAGGTCTATATAAAGTCTGGAACTATCACCCCATCAAACCAAACATGGACTCTCCCAGTGATAGATCTGGACTAGGCTATTCCACTGTTTATGGCTGATAAACAATTTATATAATCAAATGTATGTAAACATACTTACTGGATATATATATATATATATCACACTAAACCTAATACGCACCCTGGGTACTATTGGTGAGGAAAAATCACAAAACCTTCCAATAACTATCCATAATCATTAGACAGGTTTTTTATGATATGTCATAAGACTAGAAGAAGGATTGGCTGGGGGGACAGGAGGGGGGGTTTAAGGGATGGGGCAATTATTGGATTGATTAGTGCTACTATGTCAGTATACATTTCAGAATCCACAATTAAACACATTTTATCAACTTATTCTTTTAAAACTACAGCATTATAAATGTTACAGACATGGTTTTAACAAACTGTTGGTTACAATGTTTGATCAGAACAGCTTATAATGTATGTGTGACTTTGGTGATCAGGGTTATAGATCTCCTCCAAACAAAATAACAAAACTATTAGGATTACATACGGATAGGGAATCATTTATATAGTTGTGTCAAGTTTACCTATTCTGTCTTCATCCTCTGTGGTCTTCTCGCCAATGCACTCAAACTTAAAGTCAATCAGCTTGGTGGCAAACTTGCGCTGAGCAAGGCCAAGATCTGAAACGAGAAACAGAACTGAATATTTACAAAATGAAGAAGAGAGAATTATTCTGATTTTCTTGATCTTAATAGTAATACTCCATATTAGAAACCAATTCAAATACAGATTATAAGAGGTGGTATTGTGGCAACTGTACTGTTTACTGTATAAACATATTGTAAAATACTATATGACTGCAGTCATCCTGTATATCAATGTTTAATATACCAATATCATGTTTGATCCCATCTTAATTGACTGAAACATCGTTAGGACCAGAAAATAACTGACAAGGTACAACAGATATATATCCCAGTCAGCAATGCTAAAGTCCAACTGTATAATAAAATACCACTATGGAATATTAGCGATGAAATATACAGTAGTTGATTAGTCTTGGGACTATAGTTAGGACCAGAATATAGTCTGATCATGACCTTGACTCCAGAAGCAAACCATGTTAATGTGTATATATATATAATAAGTGTATACCATCAGGGATCACCAGGAACTCCCATATTATATCTCTTTCCTGACAGAGTCTAAAACTATGTATATATGTAGGGTGTGTATAGAGATCACTAGATTTTATTTTACCACTTTAAATATTATATACTTTCATGCATATTCTAGGTATGAATTTTGCTACATATATTTTTGGAGTAGTTTTCTATTTTGGTCAGACAATGAGGTGATATAAACTCCAGTTGAGCATGCATAGTTTTAGAATTTAAAAAAAAGATGAATATTGTTCTTTGAGGAAATTACACAAAGACAATTTTATTCACCAGAAAAATGTCAATCTTTAATTATATGACAGTATTGTTCTATTTGTGCTTCGAGGTAATGTTTACATTAAATAGAAGGATCTCATTCATTAATGGCATGATAAGCAAAGGATAAGTGTATGCCATTACTATTTATAAAAGTAAGGGTTTTAATAAATAATCAATGATAATGTAATGAAGAAATCTCCAACAAACCTAGAACACCTAATGCATGTATCACGATCACTTAACAGTCAATTGTATGACACTAAAAAAAATCTGCTTTCTCATATTGAATATGCATATAGTACTCAGATAAATTTGATGGACTTGAGAAGAGAATGGTTATGTCACTTGTGTGATCCATGATTGGCCATAGGGTGTCCTTGAGATAGGTACCAGTGTTCTCCCCAGGCTGTTTTTGCAGCATGACACCATGCTCCTATAATTTCTTGCCATGCTGCTATCCTAGATCTTCTCTGTAATATATTCATAGTAAATCTAAAGTTACCATGCTGCTTTGATTTTACATAGAGTGCTGCTTTAACATAGATATTAAAATACCATGCTTCTTTCAAAACATTCTGGGTAGAACAGTGGTTAACAGTTGTAAACAGGATAATCATCACATATCCTCATATCTAGTGCCTAGACAAATGAATGTACACTGTACAGAGGATGTCTCGGCTCATCTGTAGTGTACACTGTACAGAGAATGTCTCGGCTCATCTGTAGTGTACACTGTACAGAGAATGTCTCGGCTCATCTGTAGTGTACA